AAGGAAAGCAAAAGAGATTATAAAGATGAGATAAGTATCTTAATGATTTTCAAAGGAATTTATTCATAATTTTCTTCTGCCTTATTGGCAGTTTAAAATGTTAGTAAAGAGTGTAGTAGTTTATTTTTCTTTCATCAAAAAAAGCACTATCCTCCTTATTTTCTCTTAAAAATATTTTTTAAATTATGGTGAAGAATATCCCCAAATCCCACCTCACACAGGCCCATAAGTTTCCCATAATTCAGTCCATTTCGCACCTTTAAGAGTTCATTTTCTCTCCACCCCAACACCATATACAGTATTACAGAATACAATTTTACTCAGAGGAAGTAAGAATAAAGATAGAATATTGCATATTTGAGCAACTGTAATATAACCAATATGTATACTACTCAGATTTGTAGATTCTGGAACGTATTTGGTCATACCTGGGGATGATATTTAAAGACATTTATAAATTTTATCCTATTTTTCTTTTTTTTTTTCCCCTCAGGCTCTGAAAAGACAGATGAGTATCTTTTGGCCAGATTCAAAGGTGATGGTGTAAAATACAAGGCCAAGCTAATTGGCATTGATGATGTGCCCGACGCAAGAGGGGATAAAATGAGCCAAGATTCTATGATGAAACTAAAGGTCAGAAGGGAAAGCATACTTTGTCTCTATCTCAAGCAAATATCCAACAGCGGGAATTATATTAGAAGCTTATGTTTACCTTTATCTCCATTATTTGAAAGAAAAACTTTTCTAATCACATAATTGATCCAGCGATACCTCATTTTCTGAGTCTTGAGTTTGTTTGCACATTGTGAATGCTGTTCTAGAGACTGGGCTTAATCATGTAGTGCAGGACAGTAGATGCCTTTTCTTTTGGGCACATCAAGTTTTAGACCCTGGAAGTATTCAGGTAAAATTCAGGTCTCTATTTGGAACCTGTAGCTCTTTCGTGTTAGCCCTTTGGGCTTTTTTAAAATTTTTAAACTCTAGTACTGTCACTATGTGAAACTAATTAAATAAATAAAAATTGTTAAGTAAGACCAGATCTAGAAGGAACATCTTTGAAGATCTTAACCAGTCTTCTTGTCTCTACCAATGACTATTCTGACACCAACAGAATTAGAATGACTTGTCCAAGTTCACACAGCTAATTCATGATGTCCTGGCTCAATGTCTTCTATTTCATTCTGCCATCTATTATGAAAGGTGCCTAATCCTTTCGTAGATGGTAAACCAAGCTGAAAATAAAGCTATCTTTTAAATGTTTTAGTATCAAAAGCATCATAGGGTAGTTTTAACTGGATTTTTCTTGTTTTCCCAATCTCATCAGGGAATGGCGGCAGCTGGTCGGTCTCAGGGACAACACAAACAAAGGATCTGGGTCAACATTTCCCTTTCTGGGATAAAAATAATTGATGAGAAAACTGGGGTAAGAATTCACTTTCACTGACACCTTTCTGACCACCTGAGTCTAACAAACAATTTGACATAAATCTCAGCTCCTGTTTTCCTTTTCAAAAGTCTGTAGGAAAAAAATAGTATATATTACTTCTCCAGAAGTAATAGGCATGAAAACAGATAGGGTAGGAGGTGAGGAGTCAAGATACTTTATTGAAATTTATTTTCTGTAATGGATGTGAACCTCCAGTCTATAAACAGAGATGTGCAATAAATACCACTTCAGTATTTTTTTGGACTCCAGGTACACAGAACAAGATTAACCCTAACCCCTGGTTTCTGATGCTGCCATAGATCTATGCCTGGATCTCATTAATAGATTAGCTACATGCAAACTTACTGGCTAACCTGAAGCTAGAATATTACCTTTGACACGTCTATCTTTTCTTTCTTCTCTCTTTTCCCTTCCTCTTCACCCTACAGATATAACCTTGCTCATTTTTTGTGGTTGCTATTATTCTGCATAGGAACAGTCTTACTTATTTTGTTTATTTTTTTGTAACCTTATCAAAAGACGATCAGATCATACTTCAGGTTCCTGGAACTTTATTTTCTCTACTCAACATTGTAAGATTCATTTACTTAAGATGTTGTTTGTAGCTCATTTTCATTGCTGTCAAATACTCTGTTGTCTCGAGGTACTGTGGGGAGACCTCCAGTTATTATCCATGCTTTCCTAGAGATGGCCATTATCTATTACGTAAAATCCAGTGGTCACATAGAGAGCCCTGGAACCCTGGCACCTGCTCATTCACCCTGCTGGTCCTCATCCACTGCTGTTTCCATTTTCCCTCATCTCTCAAGTCTTATTTTCCCAAGCCCATCAGAGAATGGTGGCAAGTTTCCTTAAAGTGTTCTCTTGTTCCCCAAATCTTCAAAGATACCCAATATAAACTTTCCAGTGGCATTAGGCATTTGGAAACAAAAACCAAGACACATTATGACCACCTACAAATATCCCTAAAGAGTTGAGCCCTGCCATGTGCTTGAAAGGATCAAGAGAAAAGGGAGAGGGGGAAGAGAGGAGAAGGCACTACTGAAACCCCTGCCCCATGTAACTCCTCAATAGTGGTGTGAACATGGGAAATACTGGATGCCAGCATTTGGTAACTTCCAGAATGTTCTGTGGATAATTGTTCCGATAGTACTTAGGATGGTTTTCTGACCACTCAGAGCCATTGTCAAAGGATCCCCGTGAACACTGTTCTAGCTTAGTTATGCTTTTCACCTGAGTCTGACTTTTAGTTGGGAAAGTCGACCCACTTGGATGGTTTAGCAGTGTAATACCCCATCTTAGCTTTAGAAATTCTTGGTCTCCTGATCCTCAATCCTTTCTTGCTATGTGGTGTCACATCTTTGGGATGAAGACAATCAAGTATCAATATTCTAAGAAGTATTTTTCGCACTTCTGTTTTCTACTCTTTGTTCCTTTTGGAGCCCTTACTAGCAAGGATAAATGTAGCTCTAAACCAGAGGCAATAGTTTCTTCCTTCAAATGTTTTGGCCTTTTCATATATGCCTAGGTATCTGATGTTTCATTGTGCTACCATACAGATTCTAGGTTTTATCAATAAGTCATTTTTTTATGTTTCTTTTTCAGGTAATAGAGCATGAACATCCAGTAAATAAGATTTCTTTCATTGCCCGTGATGTGACAGACAACCGGGCATTTGGCTATGTGTGTGGAGGAGAAGGCCAGCATCAGTTTTTTGCCATAAAAACAGGGCAACAGGTATGCTTCAAGCCTTGAGGTATACCTGGAGGGGGACTTAGGTCAATGTTATTTTAGAACAATAGTGAATTATTCCCCCAAATCCTGAAGGGACTTGGAAAATTATCATGGTCCTTCTTGTTTTGTTAAATACTTATTTACTCTGTTGCCCTTTATGTATCTGGTGGTGGTGGGGGGGGGTGGTGATCCCCCATAAACCAGGGGAGGATAGTAAAGAGCTTTAAGAGAAAGGAGGAAAACAGTACTAATCAGAACTGATGGGGGACAAAAAGAAGAAAATAGTAATATTAAAATACTCATAAAGATGCTTTTTCTTCCTTTAGGCTGAGCCATTAGTCATTGATCTTAAAGACCTCTTTCAAGTTATCTATAATGTAAAGAAAAAGGAAGAAGAAAAGAAAAAGGCAAGTACTACCCAATATTGACTCTATTAAACTTAAGACTATATTCAGGACCATGTTCGAACGTTATGTAAACATATGGCCTGTCTGGAGAGTTGGCTTCTTTGTGGCTCTTTCAAGTATAGAAATTTTAGAAATATATCGTCTCTTCTTCTCAGTAGAGCAATGGATGGATGTTACAGTTAGATGCATCGGATTTTCAGTCCCTGACTCTTGTCTTCTCTCCCCACAAGCTTCACATTGGTTCCAAAGGATGAGCAAGTTTAAGTTCAGAAACTGTATTCAAATCTAGTATTGATATGAAAAGGGCAGGGGAATGTAGGGCAGAAATAATATGCAAGACTCTCTCTTGCCTTGTGCTCATGAACCCATAGGTATATAAAGAGATATATAGATATACAGATATTTAATTCCCTTTTAACTGTAGTTGTTAAGATCACTGAATTTGTGTCTTTCTTTTTAGATGGAAGAAGCCAACAAAGCAGTAGAGGTAAAACTGCACCTTTACTTCTTATGAATTGCACACGTGATGTGTAGAAGTCCTTGTTTGCTACCTGTCCAGGCATGCTCCCCTCCTAGCTTATGATTATGTGTTCATGATCTCTCTGGCCATCGAAGATGTATAGTTGAATTATCAGTACCAAAATCATAACTGCTTAGCAAGCCAATACACTAGGAAATTACATTCTATAAGAAAACTCACCAGCTAAACCCTTAAATATTTGCCGTCTTTTCAGAATGGGAATGAGACCCTACTGACCCTTGATGACCAAGCTAACAAACTGAAATTGGTATGTATGTGATTTTTTATAATTCTTATTTAACTGAACATGGGTTTACTTCCTATAGATGTTGCTAATACCAAATCTGCATTGAATCTGTATGGAAGTCCAGTTATGACAACTATTGCCCTAAACATTAATATAACATTTATGTCAAGATAGAAAGTAATCTTTTTAGTAAACACATCTGAATCTAATCTACAAAATTTTTTTAAGAGTGTGGACTAGATGGATTTGTTTGGGGACATGTCTACGCTTCCAGGCCTAAATAGCCTAATAGTAAATCTGTATTAGTTAAATGAAAATCAAGTTGTGACAATATTCCTAAACCTTAGTTTAGGAAACAATTACAACAATATACAAAGTAATACTTTTTAATAGACACATCTGAATCTAATCCAAATACTTTTTTAAGGGTGTTGACCAGATGGATTTGTTTGGGGACATGTCTACACCTCCTGACCTAAATAGTCCAACAGTAAGTGCCTGTTTTTAAATTTGCAATGTAATGAAAATGACATCTATAACTCAAATTGGCAATTAACCAGAAATCTTGAGCATCTCGTTGAAACTTGGAAGGTAACTGCAGATTTTTCCACATAAAGTATAACTGGCTACTAGAATAAATTTGCATCTTAACTTACCAGGGGAACCTATCAGCACCAATTCAGATACATTAATTTTGCTTGGTGGTTAGATCTGAGCAGAGGACAGGCGGTGCAATCCTTCTTGATATTACTTAGGATCAGAAAAGGACCTGAATAATAATCCTTGGCATAAGTCCCACCGGAAGGAAGTGTTTGCGAGATGATTAATTGTAAAACCACCTAGCCTCTTCAGTATTTTTCTATTTTTTCCATTGTGACTTAATAGCATAAGCTTGGTGTGAAGTAAGACTTAAAACAAATAAGATGTTCAGTTATGTTTAACCAAGGACCATCCTTGTTTAAAAAAGTTGTTCATTCTTTGAAGGACACTATAGCGTATCAAGTTTTCTAAATACTGATTGATCGGTAACAACTCTGTGAGAATGGAGCAATATTTTCCTTTATAGGTAAGGATGTGGTGATTCAGAAAAAAAAAAAAACTCATTCACCCAAGAAAGAGCTTAAGCACACATCTCAGACCTTCCAAAACAGGCCTCTAGTTAAACTACCCATGTAATTTTGAATGACTTCTTTTAACTATTATTTTTTAAACAGTTTCTTGAGTACCTGCCATTCACAAGGCACAGAAGTGAGTGAGAGGTACAGTGTCAATGACATCATGGAGTTTACTTTCAAGCAGGGAGACCAGCATTAAAACTAATCACAAAGCCTATTAATTGATGCTAATTACATGGTATTTGTCTAGTTTAGAGGTTCATGTAATGCCTCAAAGTAAATGAGTTTCTGGACTTGACCATAAAAGATGAGAAGGCAATAACCAGACAAAAAGAGCCATCAGTCTAGAATGAGTGGGAATGTCTGTCTAGGAGTCTCTTATATCAGGGAATTATCAAGCAAGTCTACATGACCAAGAAGGTCATAGGACTTAAAGCAGCAGCAGATAAAGGACAGGGTAAGTCTCACCTGCCAGAGTATTGCAGAGAATGGCCGTCCATGAACTTTCACATAAGATGCCCAGGCCCATGAGATGGGAAGCGGCAGGGGCTGCATACTCTCTTCTTTGTCCCCGACCCTATGAGATTCACGATGCATAACAGAATTTCAGAGGCCCTAAAAAGCCTACGATAGAGAAGAAGCCTGTTTAATGTTCTTTTCAGCAGTGAGCCCTGACTCACTTGTCTGTGGAACCTTTTATTCTTCGTAATGTTTGTTACCATCCCAAGGATACACTTGTTAAGAGACAACATTAGATGATCCTGAAATGTTTATCCCAGCCCTGAGGTCCTTTTGATTCCTAGACAACTTTGTCCCCTCCTCCACAGTAACCCCCTTCCCAAAGTGAATTGATATCTGAATGATCTACTTTCCAAGTGTAACTGACATTCAAACATGGATATTGAAAGAGATCAAAGCACTCAAGCTGTGAAATAGAATTCCAGTGGGATAGGCAAGGAAGCACTGACTGTTTAATCTGCTTCTGTAGACTTCTAGAAAGTTCTGAAAGAGGAAATGAAAGCAATATGAGTAATCCTGAGTCTTAGTTATATTAGACTTAATGCATTCTAAGAATTTTTGGTTTATAGAAATAAAAGTGCATTTTAAACTAACAGTAAATTAAGGTAATAAATACCATCAAAGTAGATGGTATCTGATAAGTAAGAGAATGCTAATGGCACTAATTATGTGCTGGTTGGATTTTGCCCACGTGTTTTTGCATATTGACTCCATATTCATAGGTCACAAAACAAATTTATTTCTACTTGATAAAACCAGAATGTTTAAAAATATTCACAATCTTAGAACGGTTGCTCTGGAGGAGATGAAGAGAAAAAGAAATCTAAATTACCTGGACTTTATTACTGGTTCCCTGACCCATCTGTCCCTCCCCCAGCATTCATACAGAACAGTTTTATGCATTTCAAATAAAACTCATGTTACAAACTAAGTGGCATCCCTTAGAACATAATTTTTATTGGAAAATAACTGAATAATATTCTTCCATACTGCCACTCAAAAGAAAAAGAAGGAAAGAAAAAACCCAAAAGACATGTTCTCAGACTTTAAAAATGACCATTTGAAAGCACAGTTATTATGAGAAGAACATAAGGTATGAAGGAGGTTAAGTCTGGTACAGGGATGGGATCAGGGCCCAAAGCACAGTGTCATGCATATATAAGAGGCCATGGGTGGGCACAGGTGATGCTGAAGTAGAAAGATCCATGGGAAAAGGCTTTGTAAAGAATCTGAACTTGAGTTGGGTCTTTGAAGTGTGTAGGAACATAGGGAGCAGTTAGGCTAAAAATAAACTGGGTCCTATTGTAGGTCATTTTGAAAGGCTGGCTAATGAGGCTTATTTTAACATAGGGGATAGCAGGAAGCCCCTGAAAGCTTTGAGCTGGGAAGTTCAGGGATTCAGCAGGCTGAAATGGTTGGGAGAGATCAGCTTCCTGGAGAAAGCTAGGCTGTGGAACTCAGTATATAAGAGCTCACCTTCGTGCAGACACCTCTGTGGCTGCCTGCTTCCTCCTCCTCCTGGAGCTCCTTACGAGCCAGGACTGCATTTCACCTTCATTTATCAGTGCTTATCTCTCAGGTGGTCAGATGATGGCCGAGTGGATGCAGTGTTTGATGATCCAACAAAGAATTAATGAAGTTCTGACCTAGGGGGCAGATGAGGAGTCTCACATCATCCCACTGTAGTCTATGAACTAGACTCTTAATCCTGGATTAACAACAAACCCAACCTGAGGAGAGCCTTATACATTTTACTTATAGGGTGACTATTCAGAAGTCTAACATTGTGGCTCCAGTTTGGTGTCCTAAGAACTTCTTCTGAAGTATTTGAAAAGGAGAACTCTACCAGCTGTGAACACCCAACTGTTCTAACCCAGAGGTGGCTCATCATAAATGAATAAATATTGAAATCACAAGCTTTTGTAATACATTTTGTCCTATCTTTTGATTGTTAAAGATCCCTACATTAAGAGATCTTCCAATCCATTTCTTTGATTTAAAAAAATTTTTTTTAATTATAAGCTCTTTCTTCTGACAAATTCTTCTGGTTATAAAAAGAAAAACTGGCTTTTAAAAATTGTGTTTTTATACCTAACAGTAAAGGAAGCCAAAGAGAGAAGACCAATTAAGACCTAAACTTTCAAAAAATTTGTTCTTTTAAAGCCAAGGAGGCCTATTTAGCCCCCCTTTTTACTTACTAGTTTGAGAATTTCATATTCCCTTGAGGTTGTTTTTGTCCCAGTGATCAAAAATATTTAGTAAGGTGCTCGGGGTAATGCTAGACCTCTAACTTCCATCTCAGCTAGACATTGTTGATTGTTTATATTCTTCTGTGGCTAGCATAGATGAGTAGTTAATGGATCAAAGTCAGTCAGAAGGAAGGTGTGTCAGTTTTTGACAGCCCTATCCCAAGGTGAGCCCAAATTAGTTATGTCACTGAACTGAATAAAGACATGTCAGATTTTTCAAATTTGCTGATTTTCTGTTGAGAGGGTATCTTATCTAACAATGGAGAATGCAAGTAATTAAGATAGGGAGGGACTAGACTTTGTAGAGTTAAGTATTTGGTATGTTTTTCAAATTAATTCTAAACCCACATCTCTACTTCATACATGAATTAAAGATTACATTGTACATAAATTAAAGATAAATTAAAGATTACTTGAATTTATCCACCAAATAGATGAGATTACTGTCACGACGCAGGCAACTCTAAGCTGTATTATGAAAAAATGCACAAATACGAGAGGTTAATATGATGTTAGAATGTATCAGGATTTTGAGTATCACTTTCTTCTTTCTAGAAGGACACAGACAAAAGGATGTGTCCAGAGGAGACTAGGATGAGAGATCCAACTTGACTAGCACCTTCAAAAAGATCCTTAAATATTTAAAGGGGCATACCTGACAGGCCGTGTGATGTGGTGGGAAAATCTGTTTTTGCCTCTTAGAGGAAAGACCAATTATAGGGAAATATATTTGACCTTAAACTTTGTCTCAACCAGAACTATAAAATATTAGCCAATGAATTCGCTCATTTAGAGAGATGCTGTTACATGACTCTGAGGGTACAACGGATGGGACTGTGCCTCAGGTGGGAGGCTGAGTTAGGCTTCAGAGATCTTTTCTTACATTCACGCTCAATATGCTTAGATAATTGCTTAGAGTGACTTACAGTCGATTCCCTTGAGGCCTTGCAGAGGCAGGAATGGGAACAAGGAGGATCGTGAATGCAGCCAGTCTACAAGGGTGAGCAGACACATGACTAGAGCAGACAGTACAGTTTCATTTTAATGAAGGGCCAACAAAGTTGAGAACTAAATAAAGGGGCAACAGGGTGGGGAGGGACAGGGAGGACCTATTCAACCGTAGTAAAGAAATGCACTCAGGGAGGCGATGGGAGGAGGTAATGGTCAACCGATCTGTCAAGCCCAAACCTTAATGGGAATTTTGATGATCCTGATCATCTTATGTAGCTTTCTCATTTGAAGTCATGAAGACATGGACTAACACTTTCTTTTCTCTCTCTTTTTTTTTTCTTCCCGAATGTGATAGGAAAGCAAAGATATCCTGTTAGTGGATCTAAACTCTGAAATCGACACCAATCAGAATTCTTTAAGAGAAAATCCATTCTTAACAAATGGCATTACCTCCTGTTCTCTTCCACGACCAAAGCCTCAGGCATCTTTCTTGCCTGAAAATGCCTTTTCTGCCAATCTCAACTTCTTTCCCACCCCTAATCCTGATCCTTTCCGTGATGATCCTTTTGCACAGCCAGATCAATCGACACCCTCTTCGTTTGATTCTCTCAAATCTTCAGATCAGAAGAAAGAGAATTTGAGTAGCTTGCCTACTCCACTGAGTAATGGGCCCCTGAATGGGGATGTTGATTACTTTGGTCAGCAGTTTGACCAAATCTCTAACCGGACTGGCAAACAGGAAGCTCAGGCAGGCCCATGGCCCTTTTCAAGTACGCAAACACAGCCAACAGTGAGAACTCAAAATGGGGTATCTGAAAGAGAACAGAACGGCTTCCATATCAAATCCTCCCCGAACCCTTTTGTGGGAAGCCCTCCCAAAGGACTGTCCGTACTGAATGGCGTAAAGCAGGACTTGGAAAGCTCTGTCCAGTCCTCACCACATGACTCCATAGCCATTATCCCACCTCCACAAAGTACCAAACCAGGAAGAGGCAGAAGGACTGCTAAGGTGAATTGTCTTCTCCACATATCCATTGGCAGAATGCATGTTCGGTACCAAAGGGTGGTGTGATGCAAGCTCTCTTTCCTGCTGCTCTTGTAGCTTCCTGTGTGGCTGTGAAATAGAAGGTGGGATAAGGCACATCTTTCTCCAGGAATACCTTCCTCTGATGGCCGCCCTTTCTAAGCTTCTCACTCAGCAGTGTTTTCACACCCTGCTTTCCGTTTGCATGTCTTGTCACTTATTATTAACTAAACACCAGTTTTTCCATTTTTAATGCTGCTATGCTTCTGTACCTCTGGTAAGTTCGATCGTCATGTTCTGGAAGGGGAGGGCAAGGGTTCTTTGTGATGCCTTGTGTACCTTCCCCACACTAACACATGCCCCCCACACTCCTCCTATTGCACTAATGTCCAAGGTGGTGGTGGAAAATTCTTGAGTTTGCCTCTTCTATTCAATGCTGGCTGAATGATCCATTGCTTTAAAAGACACTTAAATATTTACTAGTACCACTTCATTCAAAAGCAATTTAAAATGTGGTTTCTGTAAATATCTTTTTAAAAATCTCATTAGAATATGCAGGCTGGCCTAATAATTAGACTATAATATCACCTTTAGGCAGACTGATTTAAACCCAGTAGAATAATCAAAAATATGTAGGTTACTTATTTATTTATAGTTGTCCTTTCTTTCCCAGCTTCAAGCTTTTAGCTGACAAGGAGACCTGATGGATACAAATGTGTAAATGAGTAAAATAGATTTCACCTTGAGAGTCCTCTTTACATCAGTTACCAAGACCAAATATTCTGTCCATTGCAGGGATCTGTCTTTTTTTTGGCGGGGGGGGGGAGCTTTGGCTTTTTGTAGTTTACCAGTAAGAGGAATAAGTTTTTCTTTTTGTGGTTCCCAAATTTGAGGTACAGAATAGGAGACAGAATAAAGCTGTTTTTCACTATTACTGAGTAACTCTTGTATCTCCCTCTCTGCCCTGTTAGTCTCCAGCAAAAGACTTGCTTGCATCAGACATCTTTACCCCTCCCGCCTCAGAACCTCCAGGCCAGACATCACCTACAGGACAATCTGCAACCCTACAGACCAACCCTCTGGATCTCTTCAAAACAAATGCTTCTGCCCCAGTGGGACCCCTTGCGGGTCTAGGTAGGTGCTTAGAGATTGAGTTAGATTTGCCTCTGTTGCTTTCACTCATAAGATTATAATGCACAGGAGGAAGGCACTTCATATCCATAGAGGTTCCAGGGACATAAGATCTGAGCATCCCAGGGAACCTTTCTCCCACTTTTACTTCCATAGACCCCCGCCCTCATTTGGTACTCTTGACTTGCAACTGAAATTTGGCTCCTGAAGTTGGCATGTGGAAAGAAAACCGTTTTCTTTTTTTTTTCAATTTTTAAAAAAGATTTTATTTATTTATTTGAGAGAGAGAGAGAGAGAGAGCATGAGAAGGGGAGGGTCAGAGGGAAAAGCAGACTCCCTGCTCAGCAGGGAGCCCGATGTGGGCCTCTATCCTGGGACTCCAGGATCATGACCTGAGCTGAAGGCAGTCGCTTAACCAACTGAGCCACCCAGACACCGAAGAAAACCATTTTCAATATCGCGCTTACCCGAGCCAACTGGCAATGGCTTACGGAAGACAACTGTAAGGGATTCTGATGCTCAGACCAGATTCATTGGAGAAATGAGGTAGAGCTGAGAGAGTCTTGTCTATCATCTGTATTGGAAAAACTGATGACATGCATGCCTGCCACGTAATTTGCCATTATTAGACGAAGCCCTATCTCCTAGTAAACTGATTTGCTTCTTGGATAGGGTATCCTGTCCTATCCCCGAGAGGGATATAAGTTAAGTCCAAAGCAAGTGTAAGTCATACAATGCAAGTCTTAGGTTCTCAGCCCAGCTCTGTTCCTAGGCATATGATGGGTATGAGACAGGCATATATCCCGATCGGTCTCTGAATACTTAAGCCTTAGCTGCTCCCTGCCAATATTTTGGGTATCTGAGTGTCTTAATAGAGTTAGAAAACAAATGCTAGAAACCTGAAGTCAAAAAGAACACAGAGAAAAGGGAAGAGATGGGATTTTACCAGATGCCCAGGATGTGCCAGTGCTCATTCATAAATGTGTCGAGCTCACATGAGCCACTGAGCCTCTCTGTAGCAGGACACTGCGGAAGGCCACTTGGCTGAGGACTAGCCCTGCTATTGTTTGCCCACAGCCTCCAGTTCCTTTCTGCCTCCATGGGACAGTCTTCAGCAACCCCGACAACAGTCTTTGCTGTCCTGCTGGGGACTCTCTTTATTTTTCTGCTTCTTGGCACCTCTACAAGTTCCCAACAGACTCTGTCTTGGGAGGCAGTTGGGGGGAGTTATGGATGAAGAGGGACTCTCTTCCCCCATTTTGTAAAATTTGACCAGGGCTCTTGGTTTTCTCTGCCTCCTGTGGAGTCAGTCATCAGGACCCTATTTTTTGTTTCCCCCGATGCTTTCCTTCAAAGGAAAGCATTTTCATTTTGGCATATTAAATCTGTTTAATCATATCTGGAGTATGGTGGCAAGAGGGGCTTGTCACCCAACCGCTGAGTGGCTGAAATCAATGTGGGTGTGGGAAGCCAACTTGTTCCAGGTCTCTGCTTGCATTTACACCGTCAAGACTCTCCCTGAACACTTCGTGTCCCTGGCGGGCTTCCCCTTTTGTGCATCGCTCCTTTTCCTGCCCCCTTAAGTGGAGCTGGTGGGTGCTTTTCCTTGCAGAAGGGTTGAGAGCTTGCGTGCGCTGCTTGTGACTAGATCACATCCCAGAGCTTGACAGTCTAATATCAATGCCTCGAAGAATTTTTACAGCCAATATTTAACAAGTCAGCTCGAAAATACAGCTGGACCCTATAACTGTTAATTTATTCAGACGAAGTGAAGCTTTTTGGCTAGGTGCCTCTGTTGAGGCCTTGGGGTATACAACTGCAGAATACTGATGATCCTTCCAAGTTTGGACATGGGACTCAAACTGAGCTCTACAGTATAGTCCCTGTCCACTAGCAGGGATCCTCAGCCAAACCATGGAAGGTTGTAGGTCTGGCTTCCGCTAGACCCAGCTGGGGGACTGTCTCTTCTGGAGAACTGGGGGTGGGGAGAGGTATTGTAGAAAGCTGAGCCTTCAGCTTCGACTGGCTTCCCTGTGTTTTAATCTAGCATCAGAAGGTGATAAAATTAACTTCTTACACCCACACTTTCTTTTTCCTTACCCCTTGCCTCCACTTTCTCCAGCAGAGCCTGAACTATCTTGGAAATGCAATGCATGAAATCCATCAGATGGGAATGAAGGCTGGCATAAGCATATACTGAGAAAGCCTTTAATTCCTGGCAGATAGAATATTTTTCTTTAACTACCACCACTCCCTCTAATACCATCTATGACTAAAGCCATACATTTTCCTAAGGGAAGGCAAGTCATCCAACATGAAAAATGATAAGATTCTACCCAATTTGCACTCTGAAAAACAAACTGAGGGTTCTAGAGGGGAGGGGGGTGGGAGGATGGGTTAGCCTGGTGGTGGGTATTGAGGAGGGCACA